CTCAGGCCGCTTTGCTCATGGGGCCACACTCTGAGCGCTGTGAGGCTACTTCTGCCCTGGCCCTGGATCCTAGAGCACCAAGACAAGATTCTGTGAGTGGTTTGCTTCCAAACCAAGAGTTGAGCTCAGAGGGATGGGCATGGGTGCGTTTAGCAGGCACTTGTTAGAGAGGCCTCCTTCCAGCCAGGTGCTGAGCTGCTAGGTCTGGTGACACTAAGATGGTGATGGCAGCTGGGTTCCTGTCCACGAGGGCCGGGTCGTCTGTTGGAGGAGGCAGAGCTGTAGCTAAAGCACTGCAGGCACTTAGAGACGTTTCTGCAGGGTGAAGGGGAACAAGAAAGGGAACAGCCAGCCAGGGGAGGTTTGGTAAAGGGAGTGGACATTTGGTGAATGGCTGGTCCAGGCAGAGGGGTGATGGTGAGTAATGGCACAGTGCACTTGGGGAACACGGAGGGATTTTTTTTTTTTTTTAAGATTTTATTTGTGAGGTAGAGTTACAGACAGTGAGAGGGAGAGACAGAGAGAGAGGTCTTCCATCCTCTGGTTCACTCCCCAGATGGCTGCAATGGCCGGAGCTGCGCTGATCCGAAGCCAGGAGCCAGGTGCTTCTTCCTGGTCTCCCAAGCGGGTGCAGGGGCCCAAGGACTTGAGCCATCTTTTACTGCTTTCCCAGGCCACGGAAGAGAGCTGGATTGGAAGAGGAGCAGCCGGGACTAGAACCAGAGCCCATATGGGATGCTGGCACTGCAAGTGGAGGATTAACCTACTGCACCATGGCGCCAGCCCCTGATTTATTTATTTGAAAGAGTTACAGAGACAGGTAGACATACACACACACACACACACACACACACACAGAGGGAGAAGGGAAGGGGGAGGGGGAGGGGGAGGGAGAGGTCTTCAGTCTGCTGGTTCACTCCCCAAATGGCTGGAACGATTGGAGCTGGGCCGATCTGAAGTCAGGAGCCAGGAGCTTCTTCTGGATCTCCCACGTGGGTAGCAGGGGCTTTCCCAGGGTCTTTCACTGCTTTCTCAGGTGCTTTAGCAGGGGGCTGGATCAGAAGTGGAGCAGCAAGGACTTGAACTGGAACTCATATAGAACCCCATCACTGCAAGCCAGGGCTTTAACCTGCTGCGCCACGGCGCCAGCCCTGAACTTAGAGGTTTTAATCCATGCTGCAGGAGCCAGTCGGTGAGCAAATAGACCAGGCAAGCAGGCAGGGACTTGGTGCTCCTTGCTATAGTCATCTTGCAGGTGGTAAGAGCCAGGCTTTATTTATGTATTTACTTTTTAAGATTTATTTTAATGGGGGCTAGCATTGTGGCATAACAAAAGCCACCACCTGCAATGCCAGCATCCCATACGGGCACTGGTTCAAGTCCCAGCTGCTCCATTTCCAATCTAGCTGCCTGCTGATGGACTGGGAAAAGAAGCAGAAAATGGTGCAAGTGCTTGGGCCTCTGCCACCCATGTGGGAAACCCGGATGAAGCTCCTGGCTCCTGGCTTTGGCCTGCCCCAGCCCTGGCCATTTGGGGAGTAAACCAGCAGATGGAAGATTCTCTCTCTGTCTCTCCCGCTCTCTCTGAACTCTGTCTTTCAAATTAAGTAAATCTTTTTATTATTTATTTTATATTATTATTTACTTATGTTTTTGTTTTTTCTCTTTCATCATTTATTTTATTTGAAAGACAGAGTTTAGAAAGAGCGGGAGAGACAGAGAGAGAAGACAAGAGCTAGGAGCTACATCCAGGTCTCTCAGTGGGTGCAAGGGCCCAAGGACCTGGACTGCCTTCCACTGCTTTTCCACGCTGCATCTCGCCGCCACGTCCCCTCAGTCTGCGGTGACAGTCCAGTCTGTTTTGTTGACCAGTGCTGCCTCCTGCACCGACAGAGTTCCCACCCCAGCCCACTTTCCCCACCACTACCTCCTAGTTGCCACCAGTCCCGAAGCTTGGGCCAGACTTCCTGGAGGCTCCCTAGTGTGGTGAGGAGGCCACCTGTCTGCGGAAGGCCAATGTTTAGGATACCCTGCCCGATGGGAGTGAGCGCCCAGAGAGCCGGTGGTAGAGGCTGGGTCTAGCCCTGGGCCCCTGAGACCTTAGGGCTAGAAAGAAGGCCACGGCCATCTGTGCCTGTGCTGAGCGGACACGGCCTAGCCCCTCTAGGTACCGGAGGTCAGGAAGAGACCGAGATAATATGGAGCCTAAGGGAGGCTGTGGGTGAGGGAGCAGGGGTGCAGATTAATAACCCGGCCCTCTTTCCATCCTGTAGGGGAGGAGGACTGAGGCAGAGCTGATCCCTGACTCAGGGACCTACACATGACCACAGCCAGGCTGATGACCAGTGGGCACCCCACTGGATCTCCAGGGGGCCCGCGGCCTGCTCTTCCACCACCACCACCACCACCACCACCACCACCACCACCACCACGGGAAGCCTGTTTGCCTGCCTCTGCGGTGGTGCCATCCAAGGTACCCAGGCTGTGCTTTCCTAGAGGGCAGTGGGTCCTGGGTCAGGTGGAGAGGAGGGACTGAGGACCCTGCTCACCTCGTGCAGGCAGGGGAAGGAGAGGTGACAGGAGCCTGAGCCTTCAGACAGTGAGCTCGGCGGCCCAAGCCCCAGGGTCTGTGCCACCTATTTTGTACAGTTGCCTCCTCATTTAAAAAATATTTACTGGGGCTGGCATTGTGCAACAGTGGGTTAAACTGCTATGATGCCAGCATCCCATACCGGGTGTCAGTTCCTCTACTTTCAACACAGCGCCCTGCTAATGTGCCTGGGAAAGCAGCAGCAGATGGCCCAGGTCCCTGGGGCCCTGCCACCCACTTGGGAGACCTGGGTGGATTTTCAGGCTCCTGGCTTTGGCCTGGCTCAGCCCTGGTTATTGCAGCCATTTGGGGAGTGAACCAGCAAATGGAAGATCTCTCTCTGTCACTCTTCCTTTTTAAAAAAGATTTGAAATGCAGTGACAGAGAGAGTGAGAGACAGATCTTCCATCCTTTGGTTCACTCCCCAAGTGGCCACAATGGCCGGGGCTGGGCCAGGCTGAAGCCGTGAGCTTCTTCCAGGTCTCCCACGTGGGCGGCTGGGGCCCAAGCATTTGGGCTGTCCTTTGCTGCTTTCTCAGGCACATTAGTAGGAAGTGGATTGGAAGCGGAGGAGTCGGGACTTGAACTGGTTGCCTATATGGGATGCCAACACCATAGGCAGCGGCTTAACCTGCTATGCCACAACACCGGCCCCCGTTCTTTCAAGTAACTATTTCTATCTACTTGAAATGCAGAGCAGGAAACAGAGAGAGAGAAATGAATCTGCTGGTTCACCCCCCAAATGCCTGCAACATCCAGGGCTGGGCCAGACCGAAACCAGGAGCTGGGAACCCCATCCAGGTCTCGCACCTGTCGGAGCCCTCCACTGCTGCCTCCCAGGGTGCCTACGCGGGAAGTTAGCATGTAAGCGGAGCAGCTGGGACTTGAAGACCCAAGAACTCCAATATGGGAAGCAGGCATTTAGAGACTCCCTTGGGGAGCAGGCTAAGCTCTGTTTTGGCCATCGCAATCCTGTCACTTGGGGAAGGCAAGACTTAGGGGTAGGAGGTTGTCAGGGTGGTTAGAGAAGATGCTACTGGCCAGGGAAGAGGGGAGGTTGAGGCAGAAGTCACAGACTGCCCTTGGCTCACTCCTGTCCTGCTGTGTTAAGTGAGGTTTCCTGTGAAACTCTGCATTTCTGACTTCTCGTAGGAAACACACACATACACAGAGCTGGCTTTCTTGTACAACTTCAAGCGGCCAAAGTTCAGCATGGGCTCCTGGCATGGTGGAGGCTACATCCCAGGCGTGCGGTCACACGAGGGTCACTGACACTTACCCGTGGTGCTCACTGTTTGCTCTCTGGTGAGGACAGTGCCCTTCTGGTCCCTGGGGCGCTGACTTGCAGCAGTCTGGTGTTTTGCCCGAGCGCACAAGCCAGGCTGCCTTGGGAGCTAAAGGCTGGGGGTTGAAGTGAGGCGGGAAGAAGGGCTGAGTAGGAGGAGCCTGCAGTACCGATGGGAGGGAGGGGGCAGTGGCCTTGGGGAAGGAGGCGGGGACTCCTGATGAGCCGCCTAAGGAAGGGGAGGGGCCCACGGCCCTGCTTGGAAGGCTCTGGTGAGGCAGCCAAGAACACACTGGAGCTTTGGAGGTGGGGCAGACTTTATTTCTTATTCAGTCTCATTAATCCGCGACCTCACTTCTTCAGCCCAGTTTCTACATGCGGCAGGAGCAGCCCCGAGGGGCTTGGGGCTAGCTGCACCCTTCTCTTTTCCCATTCTGTCTTTCTCAAAATATGTCACCAGAGTGTGTGGCTGGCGTGTAAGTTCAGCGCCTTCAGCCAGCAAGTGTGGGGCTCCTAAGAGAGCTAGCAGGGCTGCACGTGGCCCTCCTTGCCAAAAAAAACAAAAAACAAAAAACAGCAAAGTGTTGGCTCTGTAGCATGGGCTAAAACCAGAAAGCACTGGTCAGTTCACTGCCCTTCCTGGGCTGCAGGGCAAGGGAGGAGAAGGAAACCTGTGGCCAGAGTCTACCCCGGGGCTGCCAGGCCCTCCCGGGAACCTGCCTGGGGCAGGGAGGGAACTGTGTTTTTATGGACTCTGGAGAGTCTGCAAGTGGCTGACCAACGACCCTCTGGCTCTTTTCTCTGGGCTTCTTGTACCGGGCTGTGCAGCCAAAGCTGTCTCCTGGGGGAGGAGCCGAGGGAGGTGGCAGTTCACTGGCTGGGGAGTCTGCAGTGAGGGGGCTGTGCGCCACCTGCTCCGTGGCACGAGCTAACCTGGCTGACAGAGCAGAAAGCGGAAGCGCTTGTGCTGGGCCCTGGGGCACATGTGGCCGAGGCCACTCTCAGGCTGCGTCCTGCATCTGCCTTGGTGCCAGGGTGGACGGTTCTGGGAGGCCAGGGCTCCCACCTCGCAGTTCCTCCTCTGAGCCCTCCAAGGTTAAGACAAAGGAAGCTGGACTGCTAAGGTGCAGACTTTGCCTCAGGCAACTCAATTTATTAGCAAGAAAAATATTTTTGTCAGTCCAGAGCTGACCAACAAAGTACATCGTTAATAAAAGGACAACAAATCTGTCACTTAGTTCATAAAACAGACCTCAAGCAGTTACAACGCAAAATAAAGTTGGATTTTTGTTTAATTTAAAAGCCTCAAAAATAACAAGCAATATGTTTTTAAACATGTAGTAGACACAATTGTCTATTATACAATATACACTGTACACAGGGAGGCCTTGGGCTGGGGAGGGCTCGGGTGTCTGGACCTGAATCGGGTCTGGGTTGAAATGCTCTGTCACTTAGGAAAGAGGATGGCTGGAGTGAAAAAAAAATTTCATATGCTCGTCATTGCCCCCTAAAACCCTAAACTGAAAGCAGGCGTGGGGAGGTGAGTGACAGGAAAGGAAGAGGGAGCAATGAACTGAAACTTGTTTAAAGCACACGCGATACACAGTGTTCATCATCTGGAGTAGGGCGTAAGGCAGCGTTCTCCATAGAAAAGGGGGCAGGGCGGAGTCCACAGCATCTTCAATTTTTAAATAGAAAGTTGGAATGTGCTGGGCCGGTGCTGGCCACGTGGCGTCCTGGTGGCCTCCTGGCCTCTCCAGAGGTGGGTGCCAGTGGAGTGCTGGGTGCAGGGCCCCGGGCACCCACAGTGGCCAGCAGGGCTGGGGAGGTGCGGGAGAGGGGCATGGCACACGGACTCCGGCAGTGTTGGGGGCGGGGGCGGGGCTCACTTTGCTCCTCCACGGAGTGAAATGCATGTTTTTCCTTTGGAAATAAGGGTTCCCACGCGTCCTGGTTCAGAACGTCTCATTGGGCACGACCAGTGTCCACGGTCTGGGCGGGCCGGGAGCTCATGGTGAGTAGGGCAGGGCCAAGGCAGAACCAAGGGGCTTCGGGAGGAGGAGGGGACAGGGAGCAGAGTCCCTTCCTGTGGGCACACAGTCGCAGGAGGGAGCTGCAGCGGGCCCAGGGCAGCGAGGGGTGCCTCTCAGCCAGAGGCCCGGCGGGACAAGTGGGGCCGTGTCTGTGGGGCGCCTGCCTCAGCAGACCTTACAAGTTCTTTGTGACCAGGTGGGTCTTGTAATGCTTGGTGAGGTGGTCACTCCTCATGAAGCGCTTCTGACACTGGGCGCACTCGAAGCGTTTGTCCCCTGGAAGAGGAGACACCTGTCACCCCGTGCACACACACCTGCTCACACACTGGCTCCGCTTCATCTGCCCACCTGACCCCTCTGATCACGTCTCGGTCCTCTCTGCCCTCTGCAGTCTGCTCTGTTCCCACTCCTGTCCCCTGCACCTTGCAGTCTCCCCGCAGGGCTGCCTGCCCGCCTTCTGATCTTGGTCCCTCTGACTCTGAACCCCTTCTCAGAGGACCCCACTCCCTCAGATTCTGCCAGCCCCAAGCACTTCCTGACCCTGCTGGTCAGCTGCCAGACGGCTGGGTTCACTCTTCCACCTCTGCCAGGGTGAGGCCTGTCCCTCCCACTGGCCAGGAGCTGGGATTCTGGGTCACCAGGCTCCCAACCCCAGTCCCAAGACAGGGCTCTGCTCACCGGGGCAGCCACAAGGGCAGTGTTTGCCCAAGTGCGTGTTGTGGACCAAGATGGTTTTGGGGGATAGATGGATGAATGTTTTTCTCCTAGTTTTGCATTTTTGTTGCTGCTTCATTAAAATAAATCATTATGATAGCAAACTAGTGAGATAAAAAATAACATTACTGAGGGTATAAATGACGGCCCAGGACACTCAGTGGCCAGCAAGAAACAATCCAAGGACAATCATTAGATAAATGAGAGTAGGCAGGGCTGCGTGGGATAGCAGTTAAGAGCATGGACCGGGAGCCAGAGGGCGTGCCCTGGCCGCCTCTCATGCCTCCGGGACACGGGTGGAACCAAGGTGTCCTCACAGAGGCTCAGCGGCAGCCCAGAAAACCCGTGAGTGCTGCAGGCTACCTGGCAAACCACGTCCCGCCTGTTAAATAAGCGACTGCAGATGTGGCAGAGGGCGGCGGGGCCGACAGCATCCGGGAAACTCTGCGACAAAGGAATGGCGTGGAGGGGTCTCCTGTGCAGTCCCAGGCCTCTCAGTGTGGCAGATCCCTGGTGGAGGTGAGGGGGCATGGGGGAGCTGACCTGTGTGGGTGCGGGCGTGCCGCTGCAGCTCATCGCTCCGTGTGAACCTCTTTCCGCAGAAGAACCAGTTGCAGACAAAGGGCCGCTCGCCGGTGTGCAGGCGCACGTGGGCCCGCAGCAAGGATGTCTTCCGGAAAGTCTTGCCGCAGTCGGGGATGTGGCACACGTGCTTCTTCTTGCCCTGCTCTCCAGACCTGAGAGTTGGGTTGAGGGTGGGTAGGGGATGGGAAGAGGCAGCAGATGAGGCAGGCACAGGATGGAGCCCGGGACAGGGGGTCTGGTCAGAGCAGAGAAGGCAGGAGGCGAGGTGGCAGGGACCTGCCAGCTCTTCCTTGCTGGGTCTGGACTGGCTTGAAGCCCTGACAGGCGTCCCGGGGAGGGGCTGGGGAAGCCGGCACCCACCCCCTCCTCCAATCACCTCTTCTCCCCGTCCTTGCAGTTGGGACACGTGCAGGCCATGCGGCGCCGCTTCTCCCCCGGCTGGGCCTCTCCAGCCAGGGCCTGCTCCATCTGCAGCTGGATCTGGGTGGGGCTCAGCCCACTGATGGTCAGGTTATTCCCAGAAACATTCTGCACCGTCAGCTGCTGCTGCCCTGTGGGGAAGAGGAGGGCACAGCTCAGGACGAGGACGCCTGACACCTCGAGCCAGCCCTCTTTCCACAATACAGACGATAATCTCGGCAGCTAGTTAGTATCTTTTGAGAGCCTGCTGTGTGCCACACACCATTGTAGAGACCTTATAGAGACGTGGGGACTTCAAAAAGTTCATGGAAAAATGGGACTAAAGGATGAAGTTATTTTGGTGCCAAAAAAGCCAGTGTAGTTTTCAAAATATGCATTTTTCGTGAACTTTCTGAGGTCCTCTCATGTGCAAGGATTTTAATTTTCGTGCCAAAATAAACTTACCTTTTAATTCCATTTTCTAGAAACTTTTTCAAGTAGCCATGTATCAATTCATTTAATCTTCACAACCCTATACAACAGATACCATCATCCCCACTTTACAGAGGAAGAAAACTGAGGCTGGGTAACATATCCGGGCCACACGGCTACTAAATGGCAGAACCAGGATCTGAAGCCAGGCCCTGAGCCACACCGCCTTCAGACAACCTGCTTTCTGACACTGCCGGGACAGGGGCTGTGCAGGCGAAGCCCCTACTTGGGACGCCCACGTCCCACACTGGAGTGCTTGGTCCAAGTCCTTGCTACTCCATGCTTCAACTCAGCTTCCTGGAAGGCAGCAGGTGATGGCCCAAGTACTTGGGGTCCCTGTCACCCACGCAGGAGACCCTGATGGAGTTCCTGGTTTCAGCCTAGCCTAGTCTGTCTGTTGCAGGCATTTCCAGAGTGAACCAGCAAAGGGAAGATCTCCTTCCTCTCCCCATCTCTCCTTCTGTCTGTCACTCTGCCTTTCCAATAAATCCATCTTGAGAGAATTAAAAAGAACAACAACAACAACAACAAAGACCCTGCCCACATGACTGCTGGGAAGAGTCCTGTGTTGGAACACTTCTTTCTGAGTCTCCTCTGGCCTTAGGGCCTTGTGAGATAGGGAACTGTGTTAACAGACACGGAAAACAGCTCTATGGGCTTTGGGAAAAATCAAGTTCTCTTGGACACCCTATCCTTCCCTCTTGGGGTCACCTCAGATGGGAAAACCAAATGCATAAATACATAAAAGATAAAAAGGGGAGATCCAGAGAACTCCCACTACCTTTGCCCAGGTAAAGAGTGCAAGGAACGCTTTTGCCAGGTGGCCCCAGTTTTTCCTCTTGTTCTTGGCAAGGCTGCTTTCAGGCGTAAATATCACCGCTGAACAGAAGTGCAGGGCAGCAAAAGCCACCCCCACTGGCCAAGGCTCCAAGAAACCTTTCCCAATTTCCCTTACCCAGGGACTCCCTTAAACACCTGTCATCGGTCTGTATCAAACTAATGTGCAGGGCCAGTGTTGGGGCAAAGGGGGCTTAGCCACTGGAGCATCCGAGACTGCAGAGCCAGTTCAAGTCCCAGCTGCTCTGCTTCTCATCCAGCTCCCTGCTGATGTGCCTGGGAAGGCAGCAGAAGATGGTCCAAGTACCAGAGGCCCTGGCACCCATGCAGATGACCAGGATGGAGTTCCTGGCTCTGCTCTGCTTAGGCCACTGGGGAATGAACCAGCAGATGGCAGATCTCTGCCTCTTCCTCTCTCCCTGTCACTCTGCCTTTCAAATACATTTTTTTAAATTTATTTGACAGGTAGAGTTAGACAGTGAGAGACAGAGAGACAGAGAGAAAGGTCCTCCTTCCGTTAGTTCACCCCCCAAATGGCCGCTACGGCCAGCACGCTGCACTAATCCAAAGCCAGCAGCCAGGTGCTTCGTCCTGGTCTCCCATGCAGGTGCAGGGGCCCAGATACTTGGGCCATCCTCCACTGCCCTCCTGGGCCACAGCAGAGAGCTGGACTGGAAGAGGAGCAGCTGGGACCAGAACCTGGCGCCCATATGGGATGCCCACACCGCAGGCAGAGGCTTAGCCAAATGAGCCACGGTGCCGGCCCCTCAGATACATCTTTAAAAACAGTAATGTGCATGTTACTTAGAAGGTCTTCCTGGGTACATCTATTTCCTCCATCACGGTCTTCAGCCGTCACAGCACTGTGGAAGACACGTGGACGTGCTCTTCAGTGGAAAGGGAACGGGCAAGTGACAAGCAGCATCCTGTTATTACCGGGAATCCCAGGGCTGGGCCACAGGTCCCCATGCCAGGCCCCCTGGCCATAGAGGGCCTTCCCTCACCGCCAGTGTTGGTGATGGTGACAGGCACGCCCTGGACCTGGACGCCATTGATGTTGATGGTCTGCATAGCCTGGGCAGCCGCCGCCAGCTGGGCCGCGTTCAAGCTGATGATGCTCCCAGCGGGGGCGATCTTTGGCAGGGGACGCTCTTTTCGGAGAATTGCGGCCGAGTGCTTTTTGCTGGTCCCGCTCAGATGGGAGGTTCGGGAAGCAGGGCTGCTACAGGCGGTGGTAGAGGTGGCTGCAGCTGTTGCTGGGGGGCTGTCCTGGACGAGGACTGTCTGCACCTCACCGGAAGGCGTGCGGATGTAGACCTGGGAGGGCCACAGAGAACAAGTCAGCACTCTGGGACAGATGGGGCTCCTGGCGCCTGCAGATCTCCTTGCCCAAGTGAGACCTGGGAGCCTCTCTGCCAGCCCAAGGCACTCCCTCAAGCAGCCCGAAGACACACTTAACATGCCGCGGCGTTCACCGAGGGTTGGCACACCCTGACTTGCCTGGCATGGAAACCATAACCAACTGCCCAGTCTCAGAACTGAAGAATCAGAAGTCAGTGCACCGTCAATGACCATCAAACAAACGGAAACAGCTTCCTGTTAGTCCTTAAGAGCCACGTGTTACTGAGAAGTAATTTTCCTCCAATTCAGCTTGGCAAAGATGGAAAAATACATGCTCACTGCTGGTGGGACAGCAGGGACACAGCAGGAGGGGAAGTAGGATGTGGGCTGGCTTTGTTGGAAGGAAACCTGGGACTATGGATCCAAAGCCTTCAAGCCCCGTGTGTCACCGCCTGCGTGGGGAAAAGAGCAAGGAGGGTGTCCACAAGGGAATGGCGGCACCAACTGGCACAGCAGGCTGAGGACGGCGTCCATGTGGGAGGCAGGGGCCACTCAGGGGGGACTGATCCAGAAAGGAAGTGTGACGGATAACGGGAGTACTGGGAGAAGTCTCTCCCTGTCAGAGAAGGGAGCCATGAACGTGGGAAGGAGAAAGCCAGACTGCACCCACTGGTGCCGCGTGGGAAACAGAAACCCTGGGTTTCAGTATGAGGAGCTAGGGCTGCTTTGGGGTGAGGCCTTCACTTCGTCCAGTGACTACCACTCCTAGCCTTAGCCCCACTGTCGCCCATGGCATGGCCTGTGTGCCCAAGCTCACCTGCATCTACCCTGCCTTCTTCCTGCACAACCAAGATGACCATCAGGGAGGGGAACGTCAATGCCCTCATTAAAGTGGCCGGTGCAGACGTGGAACCTTTTTGGTTCGGTCTGTTTGCAAAGGCCCTGGCCAATGTTGATGTCGGGAGCCTCCTCTGCAATGTGGAGGCCGGTAGACCCGTTCCAGTGGCTGCTGTGCCCCAGCAGGAAGTCCCGCCCCTCCACTGCTGCTCCAGCTGAGGAGAAGAGAGTAGCAGCAAAGAGAGAAGAAGCCGAGGAGTCTGGTGATGATGACATGAGCTCTGGTCTTTCTGACTAAAGCTCTTTTCAATAGAAAGCTGAACTCTGGGGAAAAAAAAGTTTGTGGGAAAATGGAAACTGAAGGTTTATTTTGGTGCAAAAAATCTGTATTCCACGCGTATCTTTTTCACAATACACATTTTCTACAAACTTTTTGAAGACCTCTTGTATGTACAGAAATAGATATACATGTGTGGTGTGTGTGCCCACATTGAACATGCACACACGCAAGCTGCATGCTTGTTTATATATACTTCCCAGCTCTGTCTACCTGGAAGCAGCAGTGCCCTGGTGGCCATGAGCTCACTTAGCACTCAGGCCCTCTTTCTTTTGTTTTTCAATTTGTTGTCAGTGGGACAGAGGACACAGGGTGGAGAATGCTGCCCTGGGGCACACTCCGCCCCCAGCGGGGGAAGTCCACTCTGTGTCTGTGGAGCTGCTTGTTTTTCCTGGTGCTTGTCTTGCTGCCAGCAGCCGCTTCATCCTCTTTTCCCTGGGGACCATCCTGCTCCCACGTCTTCGGCTTCTTCGGCGTCAGCTGAGCCCTCCTGGGCTGCGGGTTTCTTCCTCTGGGGGAGGCCTGGGCTCATCGCGACCACTGCTCACCTTCCTCCTCGGGAGAACATTTCTTCCTCTTGGCTTTGGGGGAAGGAACCTGGCTTTCCCATTCCGTCCTCCCGAGCCTCCTGGAGCCTTTGTCTCTTCCCTCTGGGTTCTGTGCGTCCCCGCAGCGTCCTGTGGACACTGCAGCTGTTTCTCAAGGACGCCGGGGCGAGCAGAGCGGGTGCTTCTCTTCCTCCTTCAAGCACTGCTTCAGTTTCTCCAGCCTGTGTGTGACCTCAGCAGCCGCCCCTCTGCCTGAACCATGGCTTCCTTCGTGCCACCCAGGGTCTTCTGTGGACTCTCTCCAGTCTCACAGGACAGCTGCTCTTCAACTTGTCCTTGAAGCTCCTCCCCAGATATACCCATGGCTACCCCAGAGAAGCAGTCGCTTCATGAAGCAACACTGCATTTGTCAGCCAGGGTATCAGGAGATGCAGCCTTTGTGCCTGGCAGCAGCTGCCTGGCCAATGAAGGCAGAGTGGAAAACGAGTCCCTGTTTTGGTGCACTGCCCTTGTCTTCAGGGCTCTGGAGATCTGAGCCCTGGGAATCGCTCAGACACCAGCACTGGCCGTCGGCCCCAGCAGAGGCCTGTAAAAGCCAGGGAGCCCTGGTCAGCCATCACCATGACAGGCCTTGGCTTCTGCTATCTCCTGCTCCCTGGGGAGATAGCTGGTTCCAGGGTGAGGGCAAGAAGAGCTCAAAACACCTGCTGTTGTGGTAAGGGAAGGATGCTCACTGGATGGCAGGCTGTTAGCAATGAGCAGGCTGGGAAGGGCTCCCCCTGGCCAAACCTGGCACAACAAAAACACCAAAATGCTGGGAACTGGTTACAACCCTTGAATAAAGTAAGAACCCATGAATCGACACTGGCTTAGATAAATGGGGAAAAAGAGAATGACAGAAGTGAGAAACTGCCATGACCACGAAGAGACTAAAAAGCAGGGGCTGGGCAGACCCCCGGAGTGAGTTCTGATGCCTGCTGCAACACGGATGCACCTTGCACACGTGGTGCTAAGAGAGGAAGAAGCCGCTCTCCCTCAACCACTTCTATGAAACGTGCAGAACAGGCCACAGAGAGGCAGAACATGAACCAGGGCTGACAGGGGAGGGGGAGATGGGGATATGGTTTTTGGGGAGTGATGAGACTGTTCTGAAGTTACACAACTCTGTGGGTATGCTGAAAACCACTGAACTGCACACTTTAAAAGGAGAAGTCCTGCGGCGTGAGTATCACGCACAGCTGATTTTTGAGCATGGGGACGTTTCAAGGGATACAGCCACCAAACTGAAAGAGCTCCCAGTGGCCAAAGCTGGAACAATTTGAGTAACAAAAAAGGGGTGGGACTGAGGGTCGCACATTTGGCACAGCAGTTAAGACCCTGCTTAGTTCTCCGTCATCTGACGTCAGAACGCCTGGACTTGAGTCCCGGACTCTATTCCTGATTCTAGCTCCTAGCTGATGCATGTATGAGAGGCAGCAGGTGACAAGTGCTTGGGTCCCTGTCACCTATGTGGGAGACCTGAATTGAGCCTCCAGCTCCTGGATTTGGCCTGGCCCAGCTTCAGCTATTGGAGACGTTTAGAATGAACTAGGGGTTGGAAGATCTCTCTGTCAGCCTTTTAAGTTAAGAGAAGAAGAAGAAAAAAAGATAGTATTGGCTTATCTAACCCGAAGTATAAAACAAATATACATGACTGCAGAGTGATATGAAATAAACAACTGGATGGCTAAGTGAGCGGGGAGACAAGTCTTCCTTACGGAAGCACTCCTAATACTGTGCACATCCCCCTTCCTGAAGGTAGGGCTTACTTCTTACCCTGCAGGTGGGCTAGAGTCACTGCCAAACACCACAAAAAGGGAAAAGCAGTGGCACCAGGGAAGAAACCTGGCAAACAGCACCTGAACCAAGTGACAAAGGTTAACGGCAGCAGGGACGTCTCCCCGCCTCTGATAGGTGAGGGGAGACACATTTTGCCTCTGGCCTTCTTTGCCAACGCCCGTAACCCCAGGCAAACCCGGATCAGGTGGCAGTCTACAGGATACCTCAGGAAACAAGCAAAGATTGAGAAATGCCCACAGACAGGGAGGCCTGGAGAGTCCAGACGGCTAAGTGCAATGTGGAACCTGAATTCCATCTTGGAATACAAAGGGGACATTAATGGAAAAGCTGGTGAAATCCAAATCAGATCTGGAGTTTAGTTAATAAGAATATGCCAATGGGCCGGCGCCGCAGCTCAATAGGCTAATCCTCCACCTGCAGCACCGGCACACCGGGTTCTAGTCCCAGTCGGGACACCAGATTCTGTCCCGGTTGCTCCTCTTCCTGTCCAGCTCTCTGCTGTGGCCCGGGAGTGCAGTGGAGGATGGCCCAAGTGCTTGGGCCCTGCACTCGCATGGGAGACCAGGAGAAGCACCTGGCTCCTGGCTCCTGATCAGCGCGATGCGCCGGCTGTAGCGGCCATTGGGGGGTGAACCAACAGACAAAAGAAGACCTTTCTTTCTCTCTCTCTCACTGTCCACTCTTCCTGTCAAAAAGTTAAAAAAAAAAAAAAAAAGAATATGCCAATGAGAGTTTCTTAGTTTTGACAATTCCCAAGCTAATGTGAGATGTCTGACAATGAGGAAAACTAGGGAACTCTGTGCTCCTTGTGGCTTTTCTGTAAATGTAAGAACATGTTATATTGGCGCCGGTGCTGTAGCACAGTAGGTTTAAGTCCTGGCCTGCAGCGCCAGCATCCCATACGGGTGCTGGTTCAATTTTCGGCTATTCCACTTCTGGTCCGGCTCTCTGCTATGGCCTGGGAAAGCAGTAGAAGATGGCATAAGTCCTTGGGCCCCTGCACCCTTGTGGGAGACCTGGAAGAAGCTCCTGGCTCCAGATAGGCTCAGCTTCAGCCAATGTGGCAATTTGGGGAGTGAACTAGCAGATGGAAAATCTCTTTCTCTCTCTCTCTCATTCTGCCCTTCGAATAAATATTTTTGAAGACTCATGACAAAAGGGGAAAAGTATCCTTAAGGCACAGAGATGTGTCAGGCACCACTATCACTAAACATCATGGGAGGCCGCTGTTTAGGACTGAGCTCCTGCACGAGGCCCCAGCACACCAGACTAAAACTCAGGATAGGATCACTCATGCTCAGGTTCCCCAGCACCAAGCTGCTGACCTGAGGTAATGAGGAATCAGGATTAGAGTAAAAACACAGCATTTCCTGAACAGGCCAGTTTCAATCAGCATAAAGAAGTGCCCCTTGCCTTAACCCTTACACAAGAAAAGTGACCTGATACTAACCAGCTGGTCAGATTCCTGTTGTCTCTCTGTTGCTGTATACAAAGAAAGTAACTCTGAGATGACGAGCCCACTCTTTTTGTTTCTGCTTTTGTCAACCCTTTTCTGTCTATAAAACCAATCTCTTCTGCTCAGCTGGTTGAACACTTACTCTATTTTATGGAATGAAGTGTTGTCCAATTCTAGAATCAAAAATAAAGCCAATTAGAATCATTAAACTGGGGCCAGCACTGTGGTGTAGTGGGTGAAGCTGCTGCTTGCAGTGCCAGCATCCCATACGGGCACCAGCAGACTCCCGGCTGCTCCACTTCCGATCCAGCTCCCTGCTAATGTGCCTGGGAAAGCACATTAGCTTCGGCCCCTGCATCCATATGGGAGATGCATAAGAAGCTCCTGGCTGCTGGCTTCGGCCTTGCCCAGCCCCAGCTGTTGGGGTCACTTGGGGAGTAAACCAGCAGATGGACGATCTCTCTCTGTCTCTTCCTCTGTGTAATTCTGACTTTCAAATAAATAATATAAATAAATATTCTTTAAAAATTAAACTAAATGTTTTAATTTGGGGGCCGGCATCGCAGTATAGTGAGTAAACCTGCCACCTGTGACACCAGTATCCAATATGGTCCACTTCCTATCCCATTCCCTGGGAAAAACCAGTGGAAGATGGCTCAAGTGCTTAGGCCCCTGCCACCCACACAGGAGACCCGGCTCAGCCCTGGCCACTGGGGCCATCTGGGGAGTGAACTTGTGGATGGAGGTGATACCGTTCTCTGTCTCTCCCTCTTTCTCTGTAACTCTGCCTTTTACATAAATAAAAAATTGTTATAATTCTGTCCATTAGACACTAGTACTGGGACACACTGAACTCCTGCACCAGCTTTTAGGAGTGAGAATACAGCATCAATTCTGCGACAGTTCCACAGGAAAGTGCACAACTTGCATCTACCTGTGAGAGTCTGTCACACGGACCTTCACAGAGGGGCGTCCACAGAGTAACTGACCGGTCCAGCCCCACAGTGTCAGAGCTTCCACCCGCCAGATGGCGCCGTCGCAGTGGGGGACTGCTGGGGAAGAGGGAGGCTCAGCAGGGAGGTGTCTCGCTCGTGCTGAGCCCCTGGGGCTGGAGGCTGTGCTCTGAGGTGACTGCCCTCCTGCAGCGTCACACATCTGGAAAGCACAGGGGATCCGGCTGGCAGCTCATGCCCAAAATGATTCAGTTCTTTGAAGAAAAAACCCCGGCTGTGATTCTAATCGTGGCTTATTTTTAATTCCTGCATTATTTAGGGCTGTGTTTCTCAGTTAAAAGCCAGCAAACAAACCTCAGGTCATCTTTTTTTTTTTTAGATTTATTTATTTATTTGAAAGGCAGAGGTAGAGAGAGAGAGGTCTTCCATCCGATGGTTCACTTTACAAATGGCTGCAGTGGCTGCAGCTGCGCTGATCCGAAGCCAGGAGCCAGGAGCTTCCTCTGGGTCTCTCACGTGGGTGCAGGGGCCCAAGGACTTGGGCCATCTTCCACTGCTTTCCCAGGCCATGGCAGAGAGCTGGATCAGAAAAGGAGCAGCTGGGACTCGAACCGGCGCCCATATGGGATTCCAGCACTGCAGGCGGTGGCTTTACCCACCACACCACAGCACCAGCCCCAGGTCATCTCTTAATAAATACACAAATCTCATTCCTGGTTTTCTGGTTTTTCCCCCTTTTTCAAATGATTATTATTTTGTATCTGATTTTTTAAAAATTGTGTTTGAGAGGCCACCGTTATGACACAGTGTAAGTTAAGCCACCTCTTGACACTGGCATCCCATGTCAGAGTACCAACTCACGTCCCGACTACTCCACTTCCAATCCAGCTTCCTGCTAATATGCCCTGGAAAGCAACGGATGATGGTCAAGTACTTGGGGTCCTGCCTCTAACATGGAGACCTGGATGGAGTTTCTGGCTTCTGACTTCAGTCTGGTCCAGCCCCAGTTCTTTTGGGTATTTGGGCAGTGAACCAGTGAACAGAAGATCTTTCAGTCTCTCCCTCTCTCTGTGTCATTCTGCCTTTCAAATAAATAAACAAGTTTTAAAGAAAAAAATTATATTTGAAAGGTCAACCAGGTTTTCTGTTAAGAACCAAATAGCTCCTCAGCTCTGCTAACCCACCACAGATGTGTGTGTTCCAGTCATACGTCATTTCCAGAAACAAGTGGGTGGGCCAGATCTGACCTGAAGGCCAGACTGCCAACCTCTGATACAAGAATATAATACATTTTTAATCAAATGTGCATTTCCTTTATGCATTTTTGGGAATTAGCAACAAGATGGAAACAGCCCAGATACACAGCTAACATGTAACAACCAGCACGTTGGAGTACTTTAATGTAATCATTAGAAAATGTCATACCTAAATCTTTCTGCATATGCTAGTACTTCCTGGGTTTCTGTTCTGCCTCGGTCAGTCTGAAGATATGGGACCTCACGGAAGGGAGGGGAGCCACTGCTGTGGACATGCACCTGAGTGGGTGTCACCTCAGTTCTCCACCTTGAAGGTAGGCCTGATAATGGGACTTCACAGATATTGAGACAAATAAATAATTTAAAAAAAAATCACCCGGCAATACATGCCAGCAAAGGGAGCATTTTAAGGCAGACCTCAGATTTCTTCCTGAATGATTTCCACATCCATAGTTCAAATTCAAGGGCACTTCTCCACCAGGAGTCATACAACTTCCCACTGTCATTCATTCAATTTTGTCTATAGCTAACTATATACCACATACATTCCTCAGTAGCAACAGCTGTTTTTTTAATAGTAAAAATAAGACCAAAAATGTTATCCCCCATTTCAGCAATTAGCATATGCCCATATAAAAACACCGAGTAAGGTGGAAAAGGGACAAAAGTGTGGGGTTTGAAGTTAAACCTTTTCCTTATTCATTTTTTTACATTGAATGCTATGGTTCTTGTTGAATTTGCTCATTCTTGATAATGCTCTAAGTATGTAATCCTATAATAAAAAATGAACTATTAACAAGTATCTATCTGTCCCCTACCCATCCCCCCAAAAAGACACCCATAAAGAAAAAGGACCAGAGTATGCCTGCTTTCATCCGATTTGCAGAGATAAGCCCTGTGAACTGAAGGGAGCCCATCTGTCAGGCAGAAATGGCCACCCACGCTGCGCCAAAGAATCCTACTCCTGACGCTCAGATCAGATCTCGAGATGATCAGCACCATCTTCAAAAGCAAGCCAAGGGGGACCCAAAGGAGAGGGAGGCAGGTGCAGAGGGCACGTGGTACCTGAGTAGGCGTCGACTCAGCCGTCTGGATCTGAAAGTTCTGGGAGGGCTTCTGGGGGACGGTGGGGAGTGTGGCAGATGCGGCCTGCACCACCCGCAGAGCCTGCTGGGGGATCTGCACCACCTGCTGCTGCTCGGCCTTTGGGGGCACCACCTGGACCTGCTGGACCATGGCTGGCTGGCCCCCGCTAGGGCTCTGAACAATAAGCAGGTTGTTTCCTGCCTGGATGATGTTGTCTGCGGTAGTCTCGATCAGCACCGTCTCCACCTGCTCAGCCACCGCCACGGGCGGCTGGGAGGCGGGAAGGCTCTTCTTCCTGGCTTTCTTGTTCATCTTAGACAGGGGGGCGGGGGGGCTTTCGGCGAGGAGCTGAGCGGGGGCCCCAGTGTCACTGGCATTCACAAGGCTGTTGACTGGCAGGGTGAGCGTCACGTTGCCGCCCCCACCTGTCAGCTTCACCATACTGGCCCCACTCTGCACCGGGGTGGTGGCGCCACTGGACTTCTGGACAGGGGCTGGCTTGATGGGCACCGGCTTGTGACTGGACGGTGAGGGAGTGATGATGGCTTGGTTGGTGCCAGGGATGATCTGGATCTGGTTGGTGAGATTGGGCTGCACCTGGATGGTCTGGGAACTGCTCGCCTGAATCTGAGGGACTGCCTGGTACTGGACGCTGGCATTCGATCGGCTCCCTTTGTTGATTACCGTGGGATTCTGGATAGCAAACACCAGCTGCCCTCCAGGATAGGAGGTGCTCAGCTGCGACCCCTGAATCTGAAGAATATTTCCTTTGGAGGACAAGATCCCAAAGCTATTCTTGCCCGGACTGAGGGGGAGAGGGGCAGGTTTGATGGGGACCAATTTCCGTGGTGTGGGCTGTGGGGGAGCAGGAGGTGTCACAGCGGCTTCAACAGCTGGGGGGCCGATTTTGCTACATGTTGCAGCAAGCAGGGCTAAGGGCGATGGCTGGGAGTCCTGCAAGAGTCCAGCAGACAAAAGGAGTGAGACAGGAAGGCCTCTTGGTCACAGCCCCTCTGCCCTTCAAGGTCCCCTGCTCTGGGCAGCCCTCCACACTCTGGGGCAGGCACCTGCTGGTCCCCCTCCTTCAGGGCTCCGGGCTCCCTCTGCTGCTGGTTTCTCTTAGGTAAGGCAGCAAAGGTGGGTGGCGTCTTTCTCAGGAAGGAACTCCCCGGAGGCTGCCCATGGACGGGGAGAGTTAACAGCACGAGCTGACCTCTCACACCCCATAGTCTGTGCCTAACAAGGGAGCACGTCGCCGATGGAGTGGAGTCTACCACATGGACTGAGCAGACCCTGAGGGATGACTGTGGGAGGGGAGGAGGGGGAATGAGAGGGCCACAGGCAGTGTTTTCTTTGGCGTGGTGCATTCGGCTTTATAAATCGGGGAGGGCTGTCTTTTGGGGCTACAGTGAGACAGCCCGTGTGTCCCTCACGGGCAGGGGCCTGGTGGAAGGAACACCCAGTTTGACTGAGTTATCAGTGTGTTCCACCCCACCCCCCCACCCCAAATCCCAACTATGGCACCTCTGGTAAACGGCCACGGTTTCTCAGTTCAGAAAGTGTGGATAACTGAGCCTCCCTGGGCCCGTGCCCTAGGGTCCTCAGAGGGGGAACAAGGTTCCACAGGTGTTGGCGCCCACTGCTCTACGTCCCCCCGCTGACAGCCCCAACCTTTGGGGTTCAGTGCACTCGCCTGGGTGGTGGAGGCAGCAGGCTGCAGGTAGTCACTGGGACTGACAGCGGCAGTGGCAGCCATGCTGGTCTGTGGATCTGCTGGAAGGAAAGAGATGGAATGAGGCCCAACAGGTCCAGAAGGAACCCAAGCCCCCACGCCTCAGATCTTCATGCCGTTCATTGCTGCTTCTCCAGCAGAAGTCAGGGACCCTTCCCCGCACTCCCACCTCTCGGGGGGCAGCTCCATGTCTCTGTCACCAAGAGGACGGCTGGGCCCACCTCCCCTTCCCTGTCCCCTCAGCCACCACAGAGCATGGAATAATCAGGAGATGCCTAAGACTAACTCTTCAGTACCGAGCCATGCCACATGATGGCGCTCTCAATGGTGGCGCTGCTGCCTCGCCCGGCTGGACCCGAGCCCTCAGTACTGCGCAGGCGCTAATCCTCTAGCGCGGACCAAGCTTCCTGCTTGCTCCTGCAGCAGCTTCTACTGCAGCAACTTCTACCTGGCTGGGCCAGGACTCGAGGTGAGGAGGAAACCCCGCTGGCCTCCGAAGTCTTGGGAGCGTCATGCTCAGCCTTTACCACAAAGACACAAGGGCCCCTGGTAACTGGCACATGGGTGATTTCTCTTAAGGGAACTTACACTTGGGCAGCAGGGTGGCCCCATGAAGATCACCAAGACTGAAAAGAGCTAACATCTGAGCTAACATCTGAGGTGGCTAAAATACAATCAATTCTGTTTTGTTTAAATGTGTATCTATTTCCATAAGAGCACAGCCAAATGGAAAAAGTCTTTAAGAAAGCTAAAGTGTTAAAAGCCATTATTTCTTAGTGGCAGAATTTTGCTTGACAATTCTTCTCCTTGTTTTTCAGTATTTTCTCATTTTCCCACAAAGACCATACTATATTATACTTTAAACAAAAATAAAGGAGGTTTCGGGGCCAGCAGGTTAAGCTACTGCCCGTGACACCAGTGTTCCTTATCATGAATGCCGGCTGCTCTACTTCCGATCCAGCTCCCTGCTAATGTGCCTGGGAAAGCAGCAAGGATGGCCCAGGTGCTTGGCCCCTGCCGCCCACGTCAGAGACCCAGATGCAGTTCCTGGCTCCTGGGCCAGACCAACCACAGCAGCCACCTGGGGAGTGAACCAGTGGATGGAAGACCTCTCACCCTCTGTCTGTCATCCTGCCTTTCAAATAAATCAAAGAACTTCTTAAAAAGTAAATAAACAGAGGAGGTTGAGGAGGTAATGAAGGGAATCTCGACCAGAAGTCATGAGAACTTCGATGGAAGAATCCATGCCACCGTGGAGCTCATGACTCACCAAGGAAACCAACACGGGTCAAGGGGGCAGACTTGCATCCTGAGCCTCTGGGAAAAGGTTTCAGGAAGTACAGAGACAAGGCTCAAAAAGACAAAAAGGCAGGGAGCCCCTGTTGGGCATCTGGTGAGAAGAGGACAGATGTCAAGGAGACGGCAGAACCACTCCGGTCCCGGCTGGCCTCTGGCTGCCCTCTTTGGGAGAACGATCCTTAAATGGGAAAAGGTAAAGAAAGGGGGAAGCCCAGGCCGAGTGATGGGGTAAGAAGGCACCCAGGGCCCTCCATGGACATCAGGCCCCAAGTCCATGCAAACAGCACTCAGCAGGAGACTACAGCCCCGCACTGCGTGCACATGTACTGCAGTGTCAGCTACTGATCCTCAGCCAAGGAGGGATCACAAGTAACAGGCACGTGGTGGCAGAACCCAGGTCACGCCAAGCAAACTTTTTTTTTTTTTTTTTTGGACAGGCAGAGTGGACAGTGAGAGAGAGACAGAGAGAAAGGTCTTCCTTTTGCCGTTGGTTCACCCCCAATGGCCACTGCGGCCAGTGCACCACGCTGATCCGAAGGCAGGAGCCAGGTGCTTCTCCTGGTCTCCCACATGGGTGCAGGGCACAAGGACTTGGGCCATCCTCCACTGCACTCCCGGGCCACAGCAGAGAGCTGGACTGGAAGAGGAGCAACCGGGACAGAATCCGGCGCCCCGACCGGAACTAGAACCCGGTGTGCCAGCGCCGCAAGGCGGAGGAATAGCTAGTGAGCGCAGCACGGCAGCAAACTTCTACAAGTTCACAGCACTGGACTAAGTCTCCACGTCTTGTGACAAAAAGAAGAAGTGGCAGAATGACAGTCTGGTCTTGGGGGCCGAGCTGAACTTGACTCCACCTAAGTGCTGAGGACTTGCGTCAACCTCATATGTGAGGGAGGTCCCAGGCCCAGGGGCCACAAGCATCTCCTCAGAGGCAATTTTGTTCTTGAGTTTTCACTGTGATAAGGATCTTTTTAAACAGTGAACAGGAGGGGCTGGCACTGTGGTGTAGCAGGCTGAGCCTCCACCAGCGGCGCCAGCATCCCGTAAGAGGCTGCTCTGCTTCCGATCCAGCTCTCGGCTTGTGGCCAGGGAAAACAGTGCAAGATGGCCCAAGTGGATGGAGCTCCAGGAGCTCCTGGCTCTTGGCTTAGGATAAGCCCAGCTCTGGTCGTTGCGGACGTTTGGGGAGTGAACCAGTGGGTGGAGGACTTTTGTCTCCTCGCCCCCCCACCCCCACCTTGAAACTCTGCCTCTCAAGTAAATAAATAAAATCTTAAAAAAAAAAAAAAAAAGTGAAAAAGTGAACAGGGGCTGGCATTCTGCTACAGCAGGTTAACTCACTACTTGGGACCTCCACTTCTCCTATCAGAGCGCCAGTTCAAGTCCTGGCTACTCTCACTTCCCATCTGGCTCCCTGCTAAGCGCCTGGGGGATAGCAGATGATGGCTCAGGTACTTTGGGCATCTGCCACCCCCCTGGGAGACCCAGCTGGAGTTTTGAGCTCCTACCTTCGGTGGATCTAGCCGAGCCGTGGCTGCTGTAGGCATCTGGGGAATGAACCAGAATATGGAAGATACCTCTCTCTCTATTGCTCTGCCTTCAAGGAGATGAAAATAAATAAAATCACTGCCTATGATGTTGGCATTCCCTATGAGTGCTGGTTCCAGTCATGGTTGCTCTACTTCGGACCCAGCTCTCTGCTAATGCACCTGGGAAGGCAGTAGAAGATGGCGCAGTACTTGAGTCCCTGCCACAAGTGCGGGAGACCCCAGATGGAGTTCCAGACTCCTGGCTTCAGCTGGGGCTGCTACCATTTGAGGAGTGAACTAGTGAATGAAGATTCTCTGTCTCTCCCTAACTCAGCCTTTCAAATAAATAAAATAAATCTTTAAATACAATGAAGTCAAAGACATGGGGACAGATATTGTGGCACAGTGGGTTAGGCCATGCTTAGAACTGGAACACCCATATTCCACATTAGAGTCCTTGGGTTCAACACCTGGCTACTCTGTTTCCGAGCCAGCTTCTTGCTAATGTGCCCAAATAGTTGGGTTCCTGCCACCAACAAGGGAGACCTGGATGGAATTCCAGCCTCCTGGCTGCAGCCTGGCCCAGCCCCAGTTGTTATAGCTATTTGGGGGGAGTGAACCAGAAGATGGAATATCTTTCTCTGTCACTCTTTCAAATACATTAAATCTTAAAAAAAAAAAAAAAAAAGTTAGGGTGGGTCTTCGGCCTAGCCATTAAGATGCCTGCATCTGATACCAGAGTGCCTGGGTTCAACAGCCACCTCCAGCTTCCCACTTATGCTCATCCTGGGAGGCAACACCGATGGCTCAAGTAATGATGTCCCTGCCACCCATACGGGAAACCCAGACTAAGTTCCTGGCTTCCAACTTTGGCTTCTGCCTAGCCCTGGTCTTCGCGAGCATCTGTGGAGTAAACCGGCAGATGGGAGATCTGTTTCTCTGCCTCCCAAGTAAATAAAACTTATTTATTATTTTTGTTAAAGATTTATTTGTTTGGGGCCGGCACCGTGGCTCACTTGGTAAATCCTCCACCTGTGGCGCTGGCATCCCATATGGGCGCCGGCTCTAGTCCCGGCTGCTCCTCTTCCAAACCAGCTCTCTGCTGTGGCCTGGGAAAGCAGTAGAAAATGGCCCAAGTACTTGGGCCCATGCACCCGCATAGGAGACAGGGAAGAAGTACCTGGCTCCTGGCTTCAGATCGGTGCAGCTCCGGCCATTGTGGCCATTTGGGGAGTGAACCAATGGAAGGAAGACCTTTCTTTCTCTCCCTCTCACTGTCTATAACTCTGCCTCTCCGATAAATAAATAAAATATTTTTTTAAAGAAGATTTGTTTATTTGAAAGAGAAAGAGAGAAAAAGAGAAAAGAGCTTCCATCCCCTGGTTCATTCCCTAAATGGCCACAATGTCCAATGCTACACCAGGCCAAACCTAGGCACCTGGAATGCCATCCAGGTCTCCCAAGCTTTTGGGCCATCTTCTGCTGCTTTTCCAGGAACATTAGCAGGGAGATCAGAAGTGGTGCAGATGAAACTCAAACCGGCACTCATATGGGATGCTAGCGTCACAGTCAGCAGCTTAACCTGCTGTACCACGATGCTGGCCACTAGGTAAATAAAACTTAAAGTAAGTAGACAGATAAAGAAATACACTTGGGGGGCCAGCATTGCGATGCAGCAGGTTGAGCCACTGCCTACAATGCCCGCATCCCACAAGGGCACCGGTTCAAGTCCCGGCGGTTCTACTTCCAGTCCCGCTCCCTTCTGATGCCCCTGGAAAAGCAGCCATCAGGATGGTCCAACCCTGCACCCACATGGGAAGCCCATACAAGTCCAAAGGCTTCTGACTTTGGCCTGGCTCAGCCCTGACGGCTGGGGCTATTCAGCAGGTAGAAGGTATCTCTGTCTGTCCCTCTCCCTGTAACTTTGCCTTTCAAATAAATAAATCTTTGAAAAAAATAAATACTTGACCCATTTGCCCATAAAAAACTTTAAAAAAAAAAAGCAAAAAAAAAAAAAAAAAAAAAAGACCAAGTGTGCTATGTCACTGGATGAGTGCGGCCCGGCAAGTCCTGCACCTCTCAGGGTCCGTGTGTGGTTGCAAGTGCACCTGCACACCTGTACACGCTACTTAGGGGACAGTGCAGTTCTGCACATCTGACTCATGCTGCATCTGTGACAGTGAAGGGCGCTGTCTTTTCAGAAGCAGAGGGAG